ATTTTAGATGAATTTCAGAAATATTAAAAGAACAAAACAAAACGTAAAAACGTGTCAAAACACTCAAATTTTCGACTTTTGTGGGAAAGTCGATTTCCGAAAGTCGAAAATTTCCCAGATTTTTTTTCTAGAAAATGATCTGTAATTTTCTAGGAAATAATTGATTTTCCTAAAGTCAAATGTTTGACTTTTCAAACTCAAAAATATATATTGCTAGAAAATTTCTGAAATTCTTTTTGGCAGAACTTTACTCCTCTCTTTTCAATCTACAATCGCCCTAATTCTAATAGGCCGTTGTAAAGAGCTTCCTAAACTCACATATACCATCTAATATCACTTTTCTGTCAGAAGGCCTCTTCCATCCTTCGTTTATAACGTCAAAGCTCTCTGGTGGCGTCTTATTAAAGCACTCAGTTTGTCTTCAGACAGGCCCAGCATAAAATATTGATGTCAAACATCAGACAATCATTTTCATGCAGCGCCTTTAACAAAACATTAATTGCCAGTCTAGACTTCATACACTTTAGCTCAAAGCACATAAACAAGGTTTTATCCGAGTCATCTGGTCGTAGCTCTGGCTATTTTTAGCCATGGTTGTCTTTGCATCCAACATCTTAGTTTTCTCTCTCTCTCTCTCTCTCTCTCTCTCTCTCTCTCTCTCTCTCTCTCTCGGAAAATCTGTCCTGCAGTACGATGCTGCCACCACCATGTTTCACCCTGAGGATGACGATGCACATAGAATGAAAGCTTTTAGCCAATTGCCCCCTCTGCTGGGAACCCTTGGTAACTGCAAGACGAACTAAAACCGTCAGAAAGCTTTCCGCAAAAAAGTAATTAATAAAATGTCAACGGATATCCTGACAACAGTTTGAAATATTAAATTGCCACTGTTTCTTAGGTATAAAGCTGTTTGTTAAATTTTTTGCATTTTATATAATGTCTATTTGCTTCTCTATTATTAAATACATGTGAATCTCAAAGGATTTTTATATAATTACATAAATGTTTATTAAAACAATAGTGACATGACATTTTAGAGTTCATAAGGCTCTTATGCTTCATATATTTTTTGTTCATATTCAAAAAATAATAATATGATAACAGGCATTTTTCAGACTAAAGAATGTGTCTGAACACATTTTATAACCTAGCCCTACTTTAAACTTCTCCACAGCTTTTTCCCTGTTTCTTAGCCTTCATTGTGCGGTTTGTTTGTTCTCTAATAAGTCAAGTTTATTTGTATTCAGCGCCAAAGCAGTTCAAAATGCTTTACAAAATAAAAAATAACATCATACAGTCATGAAACAAGCAGTAAACATCACATTTGTCAGGCCAATTATACATCAGATATGTAGATCAATTTTAGTTACTGCTAGTCAAAGGCAACTCTAAACACTTTGGTTTTAGCCATGATTTAAAGAAACTCGCTAATTTTTTTCCACTACAAATGTGCACAAAACCTAAACATAACAAAATAAATAAATAAAAAATAAATAAATAAGATTAAACACAAATAAAAAATAATCAAAAAAAAAATGCAAACCATTAAAAAAAACTCAAGCAAGCTATCCACTCCTTTGTGTTGGTTTGTCAGAAAAATCCTATGAAATGTTAAAGTTTGTGTCGTGAAAATGTCAAATTCTGAAAATGAATGCTGTGTTACGCCGACTACTCTGCTCAGTGGGGTTTTCCATTCATGCGAGACAAAAAGAGAGAAGAGCTCTCACGAAGGTTAGATTTGAAATTTGCAGAAGCAAATTACAAAGCTTATCTCAATTATTGAGTTTGTTGCAGAACGTTGGCCTTGCAGACGCTGAAAGAAAATCACAAAGATAAGCCACTCTCATCTGTCACCAAGATGCAAGCTCGTCTTCTTTTGTGAGGCGCCGACACGGTCAAAGCTTTCTGCTCAAAACTCTGAGATAATACAGAACAAACCTTAATAATGACCCCGTCTGTTTCATTTTACCATTGACAATGGTGACTTTCATAGAGGAGACGATATTAACTAGTATCATCAAGAATCAGCTCAAAAGTTATAGCTGAGAAACACAAACACACCCATTTTTATCTTCACAAGGACTTTATTTTGACTTCCATTCGTTTTTTCATTAATTTCTATGGACTAACCATTACCACAACATGCTACCCCTAACGCGCTAAAAAGCTGAAAAAACCCTAGCTACCTAACAGCTGAAACAATCCTAGCAAGATAAATAATATAACCCTCGCTCCAGACATTTAGGAACCAACCAGAAGCGCAAGGTGTGGACTTTATGTCAGAGCTTTTTCCAGGGACCGGTGCCTGGAACCTGGGTGAATATTGTTAAAAATCCCCTTATAGACTGTTTGTTGATGATTATTTCAATAACCAATTAATCATCAGCCGTTGTGACTTCCATAGAAAATTGGAAAAACAGCATAATAACTAGGAGCACTGAATTAAAACTGGCAGGAAAAAAAAAACAATTGGAAATTTAGACTTACATGTAGAAAACCACAAGTTGTAAACGTAGTTTGTGCTCTCTCAAATAAAATTCCAATGAAATGCATGAAAGCTTGCGTTTCCAAAATAGCAAAATGTTTAAGATCAAGATACTTTCAGTACAACACTGGACAATGTAAGAGTACAGTGAGCAGGTAGTGAACTGTAAACATGATAGCATTTGGATTTCTCCCCCAAAGCAGTGTATGTGAGAGCAGAGTGAGTGGCAGCTGTCTGGGCGGGAGGGTAAACACACTTGTCATGATGTGTTTGTAAATTAGCATCTGACGGTAGTGAGAAAACATTGCTAAAACAAGAAACTGTAAAGAGAGGTTGAGGCTATGCTGCAGGACATATCACACATTACTGGAGTGGAGGAGGGAAGAAATTTCATGAAGCAATTCTTCAGCTACGTCCCAACAACAGTAACTCGGGCAATGCGTTAGGGAATAGTGCAAAAAACACAAAGGTACATCCGTGGTGCACAGAGTCCATCTCCAGAGCTTTGAAGGTTTCTGATTCATGAAGCAGAGAAACTGTTTCTGGTTCCACTCTGAAGAAAAGCAGCACAGCAGCATTTCTAAATACGGTGACGAGCTAGCAGAAGTAATCTGATGTCATGGACGGATCTTCTAAAGATATTAATTTTCCCAAATGATTCCAAACAGAACAGACAGCATTGCTTGGGTGAGACAACTGAAAACTCCTTGGATAATTCAACTGAAGCCAGATTTGCCGAGTACTTTTCACTCAGCCTCTTGGCTAATCCTTGGCTAATAATGCGTTCCTCGTTCTTCCTGGTAACGTTGGGCGATTGCAGACATCTTGGTAAGTTTGAATGACATGCGCCTTACCTTATCCCTCAGTAGCTGCAATGCCATAAGCCTCAACATTGCGCAGCTCGACATTTAAAAAATAAATTTGCTTCAAGGGAAACATGGCAATTTTGAAAAACTCGATAAAAAGTTTTGGTACTTTATGAGGTGATTTTTCCAGCTCTTTCAAAATTAGGGTATTTCGCCAAACTGCAATAGAAACAATTCTCTCGCATCACAAGAGTCACATGATCAACAACCGGATGTTACTCCTGACGGAAAAGATGAAGAAGACAGGAAGTAGTTGGAGGATCATGGCGTGTAAAACTTATTCACATGTGACTTTGATTGATTGCATTTCTTTTTTAATGGAAACACCACAATTGCAAAATATGTTTTTCTTTAATTTTAGGAGAATATCAACAAAATTCTGCACACATTTATAATAGGTTTAACAAATGAAGAGGCCAGTGTTACACTTACAATGGTCGTCTTTATTGAGGACGTAAAGAGAAAAACACAAAAACACGAATTTCAACAAGTACGCCAGACCAACCAGATTTTCTTTTTTACAAAACGTTTACGTCTAACAGTAAGTTACTCGACACAGAATTAGAAAAGAAAGACTCGCAGAACATCAGTGATGAAACTACCAGCGCTGGCGCTGTGTGGCGTGAATGCCGCCTCAGCCTATTTCTCCTGCTAAATATTCCTCATCTCTCCGGTACAAAGCGCATCCCAACTATCTGCCCACGATCAGGCCAGAAGAAAAAACAAAAAAAAACATAGATTACATTCATAATAATGATCACACTAAGTGTCTCTACTACTTAAAGACGAGCAGACGGCACAGAACAGAATCACAACGGTAAGAAGTGAGTAATGAACAGATTAAAGTCAGCTAGATGTCCGGAAACAGAAGAACGGACGTTCATAGGCTGGAAAATTATGTTTTCAATACTTTTATAGGGGAAATGACCTGAAGAAGAAGGACGACACATTGATGTGATGCTGTCAGTTTCTACCACATGCAGAACATGGCTGGTTCCCCAACAATCTCTTGATGACATCAAAGCATTTGCAGTATTTTGAGCTTTGATTTTTATACTTAAAGGTATCTATGGTGGCTTCTCAGGGTCATTGTATATGTGTATATATATATAGAAAGATAGATAGAGATAGACAGATAGAAAGAAAGACAGAAAGACAGAAAGATAGATAGATAGATAGATAGATAGATAGATAGATAGATAGATAGATAGATAGATAGATAGATAGATAGATAGATAGAGTAAATTTGTGAGACAAGACTCAAATTTTTAGATCTCAGAAATTTTATAGAAGAAGCGTAAACATTTTCTGAGCTCAAAAAGTCAAAAATTTGCGAGAAAAAAAAATCCAACATTTTGAGAATAATGTCAGAAGTTCTGGAGGAAAAACTTGGAGATTTCTGGGCTCAAAAAGTCAAACATTTTTGACTTGTGAAAAAACTTTTCAACTTTGACCATTCAGAAAAATTTTATTTTTCTAGAATATGTGAAATTAACCTAAAAAAAATTTTAAAAACTTTCCCACACAATTTTCAAACTTTTGGAGCTCAGAAATTTCCATGTTTATTTTATTTTTTCTAGAAATTTCCTGCGCTGAATCTCAAAATTTCAGAGTTTTTATCCCACAAATTTACTACTTCTTTCTCCTGGATCTACAGTGGCCCTAACCCTCTGCTGTAAATATGTAACGCCATGTACGTAATTTTTTTTTTAGAGGGACAAAGTTACGCCTTTATTTTCACAGTTTAGCATTACGCATTGAAAACTAGTGACATGTTTACCGAACAGGATCTACAAACCGCTCCCGCTCCCCTCCACGTCGTCGATCTCCACCGAGCGTTTCCGTAGGACGGAGTTCGCCCTCCGGCCGCTCTTGGCCGGCGGCGGCAGCTTGGTCTGGCAGGGAGCCCGGTACTGCGGCAGGCCGGCCTTGGTGGTGTCCAGCTCCTCCGGGTCGTCCTGCTGGGCCCGCAGCGCCGCAATCACGTCCTTGTCTGAGGGACTGAGGGTGAGACAGCCGCAGGGCCGGCCCTCCGCCCCGTTTTCTCCCGCCTCGCCCGCCTCCTGCTGGTCGTCCTCCACCGTCATGAAGGCGTCGCCCCACAGGCTCTCGCAGAGATCCCTGCCGTGCTGATACATCTGCAAACCACAGAGCCGTTTCAGTCCTCAGTGTGACTAACAAACATACATGCTTTTTATTCATCAATCGTACCGAGTTAAAATTTTACTTCCTTCAGCTTCCATTTGAGCTACTCTTTTAAAATGTTCTTATTTTTTAAATGAAACAAATTAAAAATTATCACAGTTTTGCTTGACTATCAAATAAACTGGAGAATAGCTGAAATGTGTCAATTATGAATTTGCCCATACATGTCTCTGTTCTTATTGCTGCTTAATTTGTTGAACCCAAATCAACATTTAATGCACATTTCGATCCAACATAGTTTTTTATATTTCCCTCCAGACTCCAAATCACAAATTACATTAATCAGTTTCCAGGAATCCACATTTTCAGAAATTATCGCAAAAAACAACAACGACGACAACAACAAAAAAACAATTGCCAGCATTTCTTCAGTGTTACTTATTCGCTGTCAGTTTATTGCAATTTTTTTCCAAAAAATGGAGACTGTTAACTCCGACCTGCAGGTGGCAGTGTTTCTTCTTCCAAACTGCTCCCTCCGCCTTACTTTAGGTCAAGTTATATGCTAATAGCAAAAATCAAGACGTTTAAGTTCCTTAAAGAATTAAAATGTTTGCCTTTTTCATATGTCTGCTTATTGTTTCCTGTATCATCTTTATTTTTGTTGCGCAGGTTTTGTAAAGGGTTTAATGAGGAAAAAATATGGCAAAACTCCTTGCATACATTACTTGCGTAGAACCACAAAATCAGTGAAAAATATTTCCTGGAGGGACTGATTTTATGATGTTTTTATCATGTAAAGCACTTTTCACTGGCTTCTTGGCTTGTTGTTATGCTTATTAAATAAAATTTTGTTTGACCAACCCAATGAACTGGATCAGACTAAACCCTGGAAAGAAATTCCAGCCGCGCCTGAAAGATAACATTGACTGAGTTTGTTTATTTACATCAATATACAGTAAATCAAAGACAATTGTAGAATTATATTTCCATATTTTTTTTTCCTGTTTAAGCTCATTGAAATGATCTTTGATACAGTACGGATCCCCAATATGGTTGAAAAGGTGCAAATCGCCATAGCAACCAATAACTTAGCATTTTCTTGGCCTCTGGGTCCTACATTACTCAGCAAGTTATTTATTTATTTTTTTTCAAATCAATTAATCTTTAAACAAGTTCCCCATTATTGTTACTGATGAAGCTTTGCTGTGTTTTAGGCAGACTCTGAATTTTATGCTCAAACGTTCGCCTCTGTACGACACTGTTTATAAACCATATATGCATCACTGTGTGCTGAGCTTCTTTGCATCTTTAGCTTGTAAATCAGATTTTAAATCAAAGGGCTCTTCCTCCTCCCCGTTTAAATAAATGTAAGGAATTACAAATTGTGACCCAGAGGTGGCGCACAAATCTCATGACTAATCAAATCTGTGCCAAATTTGTCCCTTCAAACTGCGTTGCCGTGGACAACAACAATGTAATTCACGGAGTAAGTCTTGCATGCAAATGAAATCTTTGCTCTTAGGCTACATAAAAGAGGATCAGTGGAACGTGGCGTAAAACTTAATTAACAAAACAGCCGTTGAGTCTCTCTTTGTGGGTTGTGTAGGTGGGCGGGACATCAGAATCAGTCAAAGCGAAGATCTACGTTATGAGTTTTTGTATTTGGATGGGATTCATTATGATATATTAAGACATATTTTATGGAACAATCAATCTGTTAACTTCAGTTGTTATAAAAATGTCAGATACATAAAACATAATTTAAAGAAAACTTGGCTTCAAAATGTAAAACCTTGAAATTAGGTCTTTGTCTCTTTAAGAAGCTCCTTCTCTTTCTGAAACTCCGCCTTCAGGAAGTCATCACAACTCTATTAACCCCTAAACAACCTTTTTACCAGTGTTTAACTGAGAACTAGCTTGTCTAATGAGGTCAGCACACGTTTGCTAGTGGCTGCTGGCTAATCTGAAGGAGCTGAATGGGGGAGTCCCAGGGAAGGTTTTCTGTTCTGTGAGACAGAAGCTTAGGAGTTTGGAAAATAGGTTGAGCTAGCTTACTAGCAAGGGCCACCCAGACGTCTTGCACAGCTGAGCCGCCACAGTTAAAGGATTTTTCAAATATGCCTGAAAGAATCAAGGCAACACCCCAGGAATGTTTCTCACGACGGAATAACTTTATAACCCAATATAAAGCTAAATAAAAACAATATTACGAGATCCTGCCCCTTTAAAAGTGAAGTGGAAGGAGGAAAAAAACAGATGGTTTTCAGCCTTTTTCACAGCAGCCATTTTGTATTCCTAAAAAAACCTCGAACGACGAATTATCGTGACCGCTCGTCCTTGTAGCAGCGAGATCAGACAGTCTGAGCCGATACTCCTGCCAGAAACAAGAGCGATGGGTCGGATTGGAGCAGCAGCTCCTGCGCCGCCGTGAGCTGGAGGAATAAAAATATTCTCAACGACCGCTATTTTTTTTCCTGTTTTTGTCCAACTTTTTTTTATCTTCTTGGCGTCAGGAATAAACGGACGCCTGTTTATTTCGCTCCTCCAGCCCTGCCAGCTCCGTGCCGAGTCTGTCCGTCCTCCCGCCGCCCCTCGGGCCTGCCTGAGCTTTACCCCGCTACATAAAACATCCAGCAAATAATTGATTTTGCCCTTTCCGCGGCGGCTCCGGCCTTGAGAACACGTTGCCTCTGCCAGGTGTTTTCTCTCTCAGGTGGCTTTGCTCGGCCCCTGCTGCTTTCCTCTCTTTGTCTACAACACTGACCTTGAGAGCCAATCTGAATACACCACTTTAAAAAAAAAAAAAAAACTTCAGGTTTAGCACAGCAGCATCTAAGGGACCCTGGAGAGCAGATTAACAGCTCTAAACTGGTTCAGAATGATTAAAACTCCAATTGACAATCATTTGATCATCTTTAATAAAGGCATGTTTGCAAAATCACAATCTAGGCTTTTTAGAATATATTAAAAGTATCCTGAACCTCTTGGACATTTTCACTTTTTCCACATTAAAATGACACTTTCACTCTGTCCGAGTAGAAATTTGTGTAATACAGAAAACACAAGCTAGTTCATAATTTATTAAATTCAATAAATTTTTCCCCAGTCAGAAATTAAATGTTGTTGCATCTCACACTAATATCAGTAGCAATAGATTTTATTTATAACGTCCTTTATATGTTGAGATCTCAAAAAGCTACAAAGGTCTGGGAAAAACATTCCAATTACAATGAATAAAGAAGAAAAAAAAATAAAATCTACTTCCAGCAATAAAGTGAAACGGACGGACATCAAAATTAACCAGTGCAGATAAAGTTGAGCAAAATGGAGAAATAAATTCTTATTGTATCTCACACTAACCAAAAAGAAATACAGAAAATTTGGACGCTCAGTTCCACTGGGTTACGCATGGACTTTTACATTTTAGCCCATCGCTAACGTTTAGCCGTGATGCGTGTAATGCGCCAGTTCAACGCTATGAAGCTTACCCAAAATTGCCTGCGCTGTAAACAAACAACCTCCACTGTGAAGAGAGAAGTCTCGAACCGAACAAGATGGCCGTTAATGTTAATTCAATATTTGGAAGCCTGGCCAACATGGACGATTCACTTCCTACCGCTGCCATTGCTAAAACTATAGACTATGATTCTGAAACAGCGCAGAAAATCAACGTCATCGTTCACAACTTCTTCTTCTGTTTGGCTGAAATTCCACCAGAGAAATCCAAATCAGTGGGAGAATGAAGTGAAGGGAAACAAGAATCGAACTTGATTGCGTAGGAAGGCAATGGCGAGGCTAGCAGTTCACAATGGAGAGCACTAGGCTTCACTTCCTTTTCCCTCTGTGGTCACTTCCTGTTTTCTTCAGAACACCCTGCAGATGGATGGAGCTGTAGAAATAAACTTGCCTTCTCGGTAACCAGTCATTAGGATGCCAAGTCATCCCCCAGTCCCTGCTTCTTCCAATTATTTTATAGCATTTCCTAAAAAAGACTTGATTGGGGAAAAAAAAAGAAAAAGCTGTGATATGTTTACTGAGTTTGAAGGACAAAAAGGACGATGGGCGTGTCTCTTAACTACATATGCTCTCTGCCTGATGCTTTGGTCTTATCACATCGACCCAATAATACCCACGGGAGCACAGACGCAAACACACACACACGCACACACACACACATTTCAGTCCTCCCCCGGGCGGCTGTGGTTTGCTGCCAAACTTAATTCAGTACAAGCCCAAGTAGCTCTAGACGACATGCTGGGATTGAATAAGCCAGATAGAGATTTTTCCTGCGGCGCCTTGCGCTGTCCTTCCTTTCCTTATCGCGCTTAATTCTAGCCTTCACATCCTGAAACCACAAACACTTCGCCAAGACGGGAACCGCAAAAAGAAGAAAAAGGCCTAGCTTAGACTTTCCTTTAACAGAGTTCAAAAATATACATATTTGGAATATGTATTTCTTACTTTTAATCTGTATCACTTTAGCATGTTTACTTGAGATATGAGAGAATCAGCACAGATATAACAAACCTGTTAATATGGTGCATAAGTTTAGCTTTTACGATAAATTGTCCCGGGAGTCATTGTGATAAACGATAATATTGTTTTTTCAAGTAATAAAGTTCATGGCTTAAGGATGCAACAAACATGAATAAACTTTACATTTTAATGAACATTTAACACTGGGAACTGGAAGACATTTTAAATATCCAAGACAAATAAACAAAACAACTAATAAAATGAATTATGACGCTCTGAAGTGTTTTGCTAACTGCTGTTAGCGACATGAGCTAATCACAGTGTATTTCTGTGTTGTGTGTATTTAAAACATGCAGTGACTTGAACCCTGACAAAAGATTTCCACTATGCAGGTGTGACTAATTTAGGTGCAAACAAAATGATTTATTAGTGCAGCCATCCAGACGTTCCTACGGCGGCCATATTGAATTTTGATGTTGCCATTGGCAACAAATTCTAACTTGGTATTGTGTCATCA